AGCTATTGTGCCTCATCAGAACGACTTCAGTGGTGTATCTAACCACAAAATGCAAAACACTAGTATAAAATGCATCACAAGTGCAGTAGAAATTACTTTCAAAGCAATGGTTTCGCACAAATACATCACCAAAATATTGATAAGTACTTTATCTCAACATTCCATATCCTTCCAACAATAATACTTTAAAATACCATGAACCAATTGAAATAATTTTGAACTGTTTAACATTAATAAAATACATTATAAGACATATAACTAACCTTCTGTTTCTTCGAGACCAAACCAGTGTGTCCCTGGTGAAGTTGCCAGCTAGAATGAAAATTACTGAGCATCTTGCCTTGCATGAAAAGCATGAGCTGCTATTTCCAGCTAATGAGAAGTTCCAAGGCCCCTTCATAATCTTTAAGCCAATCAGCATAGTTGGTATAAAATATGATATGTGAACTATCCTTACATAGGTGGGGCGGTGAGGTAGCCTAGTGGTTAAAGCGTTGGCTCGTCACGCCGAAGACCCGGGTTCGAATCCCCACATGGGCACAATGTGTGAAGCCCATTTCTGGTGTCCCCCGCCGTGATGTTGCTGGAATATTGCTAAAAGCGGCGTAAAACCAACCTCAGTCAGTCAGTCAGTCCTTACATAGGTGGCAAGGCTCCAAATGAGTGATACTGAGGGTCCCTACCTCATTATGAAATTAACAGTATTTTGAACCTTATAATTAGTGAATGAGTGAGGTTGTACGCCGCGTTTAGCAATATTCCAGCAATATCATGGTGGGGGACACAAGAAATGGGTTTCACTTATTGTACCCATGAAGGGTATCGAACCCGGGTCTTCGGCGTGACGAGCCAAATATTTAACCACTAGGCGTTTATAATTAAAACCAAACAATACCAAAATAAATACAATACATTCCACCCTGTTTCACATGTATGACCAGTGGGTTGATGAGCCAGCCATTGTAACTCCGTCAAGCCTGAAGGAGACAGGCCAAATTTGTACTTTTGTCGAACTGAAGCAAAAACATGTTTTTTGGGTGAAGGTTCTGTGGTTCTCAGCCGCTTTCCAAAGACTGGACAGCTGTACATCAGTGAGTTGACCTTCCCAACTCACCAGACTTTCTGTTTGGACACGATTGGTGGTACAAGATCTTTAACACTGCCACAGACTTTGGTTGTATCAACAGGGAAACTGTCGGCTTTGGCTACTTTGAGAGGAAAACACGTGAGGAGTACACCATTGACGTGGCAGATACATCTCGGAGTTATCTTCTAAAGCAACATGCAGTTAGTTGAGGGATAAGGATAGAAGATCTACCACGTTTCTGCATAAACCATTTATCTCTCATTTCTAACATATTTCCTTTACAGAACTTCTAGAAGGCCATGGTCCAAGACCGGGAATTGGTGCTTAATATGATGAAAAACACTCTCTAGCAAAGCACCTGTTCAATAATGAGACTTCAGCAACTTTAAGAGGTTTGTTGCATTATTCACTATGACAACACAGAACAGGACATTGATTTCAGTCAGGTCATGATATTCGGCAAAAGCGGTACAAACATACACTGAACAATACATACGATGACGGGATGGTTTACGTGGGAAATTTTATAGTTTCCATGATGGTATTATAGAATGTACATAACTTTTGTAAACACTTATTTCAAAAAGAAAATATTCATTCACTTACTCAAGTTTGAAGATAGGGCAGAGCAAAAGGTAATGCAGTTCATCGCCAACATCGCACATGTCAGGGGTTACTTATCTTTCTTTTGAGATAATTTTGTGCTGCCTACCTAATTCTACAGGTACACGATGTCAGGAGGTTCCACACATGAGGTAAAGATAAAGGGATACATGTGATATAGTTGTCAAGACAAGGATATTTTTGAATATGCGATAAGTGTTACCTTTAGAAGAATTCGAAATCTCTGCACGCCATGTTTGAGTTGCTGTATCATGAAACCTAGAGAACATGATAGATATTAGGACCAGTCAGAATGCAGGGATAGCATTTGGCCCGGTGCCACAACATGGCCTACAGATGCTTTACTGTACACTTTGTTTTTTGGTGTGCAAATATTCTAGGTTTGATTCAATGAGGGACAGAAGACGTACATATCTCCCCCCCCCAAAAAAAAAAAAACAGAAGAAAATTGAAAAAAAAGGAAGAACATTCGGTCGATATTCGGGCCAACAAACATAGATTTCCGGCCTGCATGTCTACACACAGAAATGCGGCACCGATGACGTCGGTACCTCCAACAGTCTCACGTACGAACTGCTGACGAGATCTGTTTCAGCAGGTTTGATGTCAAGGCTCCCGATCCTCTGATTCATCATCTGTGTTGAGAAAGATGATACATTTTAATTTCGACTACGTGGGTTCTCCCAGATCAGCCAGACAGTTTAAACCTCCTCCAAAATACGGCAATGATGTATATTTTATGACGCTTCATTAAATTATAATTATTATGGCTCTTGTTCCGAGTGTAATATAACACTGTGCAATAGATTGTGTAGAAAAGAATGTGAATGGTGTTGGAGCACTGTTATGTAGGCACGTTGTACAAGTGTTGACCACAAGATGTTGGAGCACTGTTATGTAGGCACGTTGTTCAAGTGTTGACCACAAGATGTTGGAGCACTGTTATGTAGGCACGTTGTACAAGTGTTGACCACAAGATGTCGGATAACTGATATGTAGGCACGTTGTTCTAGTGTTGACCACAAGAGTGAGTGAGTGAGTTGAGTTTTACGCCGCACTCAGCAATATTCCAGCTATATGGCGGCGGTCTGTAAATAATCGAGTCGGGACCAGACAATTCAGTGATCAACAGCATGAGCATCGATCTGCGCAATTGGGAACCGATGACATGTGTCAACCAAGTCAGCGAGCCTGACCACCCGTGACCACAAGATGTTGGAGCACTGTTATGTAGGCACGTTGTACAAGTGTTGACCACAAGATGTTAGAGCACTGTTATGTAGGCACGTTGTTCAAGTGTTGACCACAAGATGTTGAAGCACTGTTCTGTAGGCATGTTGTACAAGTGTTGACCACAGGATGTTTAAGCACTGTTATGTAGGCACGTTGTACAAGTGTTGACCGCACGATGTTGGAGCACTGTTATGTAGGCACGTTGTACAAGTGTTGACCACAAGATGTTGGAGCACTGTTATGTAGGCACGTTGTACAAGTGTTGACCACAAGATGTTGGAGCACTGTTATGTAGGCACGTTATACAAGTGTTGACCACAAGATGTTGGAGCACTGTTATGTAGGCGCGTTGTACAAGTGAATGACCACAAGATGTTGGAGCACTGTTATGTAGGCACGTTGTACAAGTGTTGACCACAAGACGTTGGAGCACTGTTATGTAGGCACGTTATACAAGTGTTGACCACAAGATGTTGGAGCACTGTTATGTAGGCACGTTGTACAAGTGTTCACCGCAAGATGTTGGAGCACTGATATGTAGGCACGTTGTACAAGTGTTGACCACATGATGTTGGAGCACTGTTATGTAGGTACGTTGTACAAGTGTTGACCACAGGATGTTTAAGCACTGTTATGTAGGCACGTTGTTCAAGTGTTGAGCACAAGATGTTGGAGCACTGTTATGTAGGCACGTTGTACAAGTGTTGACCACAAGATGTTGGAGCACTGTTATGTAGGCACGTTGTACAAGTGTTGACCACAAGATGTTAGAGCACTGTTATGTAGGCACGTTGTACAAGTGTTGACCACAAGATGTCGGATAACTGATATGTAGGCACGTTGTTCAAGTGTTGACCACAAGATGTTAGAGCACTGTTATGTAGGCACGTTGTACAAGTGTTGACCACAAGATGTTGGAGCACTGTTATGTAGGCACGTTGTACAAGTGTTGACCACAAGATGTTGGAGCACTGTTATGTAGGCACGTTGTTCAAGTGTTGACCACAAGATGTTGGAGCACTGTTATGTAGGCACGTTGTACAAGTGTTGACCACAAGATGTCGGATAACTGATATGTAGGCACGTTGTTCAAGTGTTGACCACAAGATGTTGGAGCACTGTTATGTAGGCACGTTGTACAAGTGTTGACCACAAGATGTTGGAGCACTGTTATGTAGGCACGTTGTACAAGTGTTGACCACAAGATGTTGGAGCACCGTTATGTAGGCACGTTGTACAAGTGTTGACCTCAAGATGTTGGAGCACTGTTATGTAGGCACGTTGTACAAGTGTTGACCGCAAGATGTTAGAGCACTGTTATGTAGGCACGTTGTACAAGTGCTCACCACAAGATGTTGGAGCACTGTTCTGTAGGCACGTTATTCAAGTGTTGACCGCAAGATGTTGGAGCACTGTTCTGTAGGCACGTTGTACAAGTGTTGACCACAGGATGTTTAAGCACTGTTATGTAGGCACGTTGTACAAGTGTTGACCACAAGATGTTAGAGCACTGTTCTGTAGGCACGTTGTACAAGTGTTGACCACAAGATGTTGAAGCACTGTTCTGTAGGCATGTTGTACAAGTGTTGACCGCAAGATGTTGGAGCACTGTTATGTGGGCACGTTGTACAAGTGCTGACCACACGATGTTGGAGCACTGTTATGTAGGCACGTTGTACAAGTGTTGACCACAAGATGTTGGAGCACTGTTATGTAGGCACGTTGTACAAGTGTTGACCTCAAGATGTTTGGAGCACTGTTATGTAGGCACGTTGTACAAGTGTTGACCGCAAGATGTTGGATCACTGTTATGTAGGCACGTTGTACAAGTGTTGACCACACGATGTTGGAGCACTGTTATGTAGGCACGTTGTACAAGTGTTGACCACAAGATGTTGGAGCACTGTTATGTAGGCACGTTGTACAAGTGTTGACCACACGATGTTGGAGCACTGTTATGTAGGCACGTTGTACAAGTGTTGACCACACGATGTTGGAGCACTGTTATGTAGGCACGTTGTACAAGTGTTGACCACAAGATGTTGGAGCACTGTTATGTAGGCACGTTGTACAAGTGTTGACCTCAAGATGTTGGAGCACTGTTATGTAGGTACGTTGTACAAGTGTTGACCGCAAGATGTTGGAGCACTGTTATGTGGGCACGTTGTTCAAGTGTTCACCACAAGATGTTGGAGCACTGTTATGTAGAGATATTGTTTAGGGGTTGATCACACGTTATTCGAGGACTGTTAGACACACGTTTCAGGTGCTAATCACAAGATGGGGTTATGGCACTACTTTCCTCTGGCGCTGTAACAGAAGTGTACGTTGTACAGTCCGTTCGAGCTTTCTTATATTTGAAAATTTTCCGGACTCCACCAAAAAAGTTGTTCAAGAAACTATCATCATTGAAAACGCAAAAGTTGTTATTTGTTGCGGCGGGGTGAAACCGCAGAAACGGAACAGCCACTATCTCGTCGTGCATGGGAAACACATGCCTGATGAAAAATGAAGTTGAATGCTGACGTGAAACAGTTGACGATTAAAGTGTAGCCGAAAGGGGCAAACCATTTTATGCCATTAATAAATTCCGTAAGCAGGCAGCAAAAGCTTTAGGAGTATCAGCAAGGGCACTGACAAATGTTCTGGAACTCAAACATTGTGAGGGTGATGCGAAGCAGGTAGGGGTCGTGTCAAAATCACACAAATTAAAACATTTGGACAACTTTCAAAAGAACCTTGTAAGGCAGTCTATCAACAAGCTCTATTCTGAAAACAAATACATGTCGCTGAATTTTTTTAAAAAGCATTTGAAGCAAGAACACAACCTCAGGGTATCAAAGTACACACTCTGGCGACTCTTACACTCTTTCGGGTATCGTTATAAGAAATTTCGGGGGAGAATAGGTCAGTACTCTGTAAACGCCCTAATATCGTTCGCCTGAGAAATAATTTTCTCAGGGTTATAAAGTAGAAGCGCGAGGAAGGGTTCAAGCCAGTGTACTTGGACGAGACCTGGGTCAATGCCTCGCACACTGCCAGCAGTCAGTGGGTACCCGATGGGGGTGATAAGGGGTCACGTAGTTTGCTGCCTCTAGGGAAAGGAGAGAGACTAATCATTCTCTATGCTGGTTGCTCCAGCAAAGGCTTTCTCCCTGGCTGCAACTTGGTATTCAGGGCAAAGTCCACATATAACAGAGACTACCATTCCGAGATGAATGGTGCGGTTTTCCTCGATTGGGTTAAAAACAAGTTGGTACCAGTTCTTTTATCGTAATGGACAATGCCCCATACCACAGCGTGCAGGAACCCGACAGTAAAGCCACGACATAGAACAGTCGAAAAGGTGATATGATATCATTGCTCGACAAATTTCAGATCGCACGGCCTTCAAAGGCAACGAAGCTTCAGATATATGAGATCATAAAAACCCGCAAAGGTGAACCTTTCTACAAAGTTGACAGTTACATAAAAAGTAACGGTAACGATATTCTGCGACTTCCACCCTATCACTGTGACCTTAACCCCATTGACATGATATGGGATATTGTCAAAGGAGATGTTGCCAGATCAAACACAACGTTTAGATTACGTGACTTAGAGGTTTTGGTCAGGGAATCCCTTCACAAAATCACAACTGAAACTTGGCAAAACTGTGTCAACAAGGTAGCTAACGTCATTGAACAAGGTTACTGGTCTCGGGATGGCTTACAATAGGCAACTGTGGCACCACTGGTCATATCTTTAATTCGTGACTATGACACTACGACGGACGAGGAACCGACAGGTCTCCCGGAATAGATTTTGAGATGTCCCCCGCCGTGACTGGCTGTTCCGTTTCTGCGGTTTCACCCTGCCGCGACAGATAACAACTTTTGCGTTTTCATTGATGATAGTTTCTTAAACAACTTTTTTGGAGGAGTCCGGGACATTTTCAAATATAAGAAAGCTGTTGGGTATTAGTAAATGATAAACATGTGTCCTATTCATATTTGTGTGGCAATTTTGTACAATGATCAAATTTGCAATTCATCGGTCCGTTTCTGACTGTACTTAAACAGGGGCTGCGGCCACAAAGTTACCATAGCGTTACGGCTGTCGTAACCCCTATACTTTAACATACACTTAAGAAAATCGTAGCTTTGTGAAACCTGACCATGAATCTAGTTGTTCTAGTCTTCCAGCTATATGATGGCGGTCTGTAAATAATCAAGTCTGGACCAGATAATCTACATCATGAGTATAAGTATACGCAATCGGGAACCGATGACATGTGTCAACTAAATCAGCGAGCCTGACCACCCGATCCCGTTAGTCGCCTCTTACGACAAGCATGGGTTGCTGAAGATCTATTCTAACCCAGATCTTCACGGGTCCTTGAATCGGGTAGTCAGTTCAAGGACTCAGCTGTAACTTCCTTGCTGACGCTTTCAGTCAGGGGTTTGTCACGACTCGTTTGTTTATAGGTAGATGGAACACGTATTACTTTCACTTTACCAAAAAGATACAGTTTACACACGTCACTTCTAATCATGACATACCTACCATCTGATTCAAATACGGTGAGGAGAGCATGACCATTTATATAGCAATGTCCACACCATCCTCCACACCGAATCTCAAGCAACTGGTCATTTGATGACCTTGTCACAATCGGTACTCCTCCAGTCTGCCGCCACGTGACCTGTAAGAATTAGTTCAAGAAAAATCAACGACAAGATAAATTCATGCACTTCGCCTTTCACATACGCTTGTTGCATCCCTCATCTCCAAAGATCCATTTATAATGAATTCCTCTTATAGGCGAAATGGACACATACCAGTTCGGCATGGTATACCGATCGCAAGTTTGTCAACCACTGGCATCTCTGCTGTACTCAAGCTAAGGCCAGACCAAGTTTAATTCTTGTTTTACGGTTCCGCCGGTCGTGTTTTTTCAAGAATAATAAAAATATTAATAATAATAATTTTCCCCGCTCAAAAATTAAAATTCTATCTTTTTTTGGGCCAAAAATGTAAACTTACAAGAAATGCTTTTAGATTGTTTTGGGTTTTTTTTTGCCACATATCCACTTCATAAATTGAAAAAAGTAAAATGCTTTTAGTATTTAAAAGGAATATTATTTTGACAGGTGGGGCTTTTCTCCACCTCTCTAAGAAACTGTTTATGAACCACAATTAATTAGTGACGATACAAAGCCTAGTCGATTGTTCCATTGCAAGACACCTACACGAATGATACAAAATAGGCAAATAGAGACGAAAGAAAATCAGAAAATAACAAACTGTTTATTGATATATACCATTCACAAAAAGTAAGGGATATTCCATTTTGCGAGCATGCCACTAGCTAATGCCAATGCATTTGAGAAAAGTAAAATATATCCATACAGATGAAACATTTCCAAAGGAATGGAATAAATTGACAGATTCCCTTTATTTTTCTTCACCATCTGTTTCCTCCTTGGCTTCATCATTTGCATTTTATCAATCTTGTAAATCCAATATCCCCTACTTTTTGTAATGGTATATTTCAAATCTCAGTCACGCTGTAATATCATCTGACTTTCTGTCAGCTGATTTGATCCTTGTTTTCAAACGATTATATAAGATCGTGATAAAATGGTGTCTTGGTGCTAATGACTGAATGTTTTCACCATCGTTAGGTCCATTGTTAATGTTAGATCTATAACATCTCATAATCGACATAAACGGTGAGATGCTGTTTAAAGATTTGAGATATTATGACCATGTAAACTCCTTGACCTTCACAGCTATGTTTTCAGTGTAAATATCAGATCATAAGTACATCTTGAACGGGATCATACAGCAATATTGGCAACGATCTGTTTAGCATTCTAAAAGTTGAAGATAAATAATCCAGGTATAATACTTTATGGATAACAACTGCTAAATTATAGTTTGATGCGACGTTTGGGTACAAATTTCGGTTTCGGCTTGTTGTCGAATTAACTTGTATATTTCCAATAACGGGATTCCACTGAGCTCCCAAGCTATGAACTCTTGATTAAGACTAACGGTTTCGTTAAGAGCCAGCCCAGTGCCTCTCAGGTCCATTACCGCCCGTCCTCTTCTTCCACATGCGCTGTCTGATAGGGCGTAGCAGTCTCGGACTTCTCCCACAATAGCATCCAGCGAGGTTGTCTTGTTGTAGAAGACATAATCTCTGGGCTTAACTTCCATTTTCTGTGAAATGAAGGTTTATCATCGCAGAGAATTGTTAACAAACAGGGAACATTTATGGTTAAATACCTGTTGAAATACTAAGGGGTGTTTTAACGTCTGCCTCTGGCTATACCATCTATCCGGGAAGACAAGTGATAATGAATTCAGATTGTAGTTTCAGATGTGTGATTGAATTCTAACTCAAAGTGGTGGAGCCAGACTTGGCAAATGTCGAAACAGGTTTTCATAAAGGCGGTTAATAACGCAATTGTATGCTGAGTTTGACTGTTAAGAACTGTCCTGCTGATGCATTGCAGTGACTGTTTAGGGGAAGGTTCATCAACCTCCACATATGGATTGTCTGCCGAGGAGGTCCTAAAAGACAGGTTTGATGGTATATTGTGAAGCTTTTTGCTTTAACAGATTCCATCATGGGCAGATAAGTCATAAGCTTGTTTAGAGTGGATTTACGGTCTGTACAAGTGAAGGAGAGTTAAATAGGCTTTAACAAATCAAGAGCCTTGGGACACTTTGCCTTCACATATATGTTGTAAGAATGTCACATCCCAAATATATTTAATGGTGTAGGACGATATTTGATTTGGGTGGCCGTTCTGGCACGTTTGGGTACAGGAATGAGTGTCGACGTTTCATCTTATATATTTAATAGCTTTTTTACAAACATGAACCGGATCAGAAGTCATGAGCTGAAAACGCATTTTGTCAGTTCCTGCTGCAGTGTCGTGTTTGTCCCTGGGCAGTATGCAATTCAAGGAGAGAAAATCCTCACCATTATCAGCTGAAACTCAGTGGTTTCTTTTCTTGTTTTTGGCATTTCTTAAACTAAGGGTTGTAATTAGATGATGAGGACTAGTTCATCACGAGTGTTGGCAATTTCAGTTTGTTGGTTGTGTAACGCCACATTCAGCAATATTCCAGCTACATGGCCTGAAATAACCGCGTCTGGACCTGACAATTTCAGATGTTTACAGATGTTGTATCACCAACTTTGGGATCTTGAAAACAATGTTTAAATCCTTTGCCGACAAAGTACTGTAGAAATCTAGCAATATTCCAGCAATGCCAGGCCGGGGGACAGAAATGGGCTGTACACATTGTACCCATATGGAGAATCGAATGTGGGTTTCGTCGTGACGAGCGGACGTTTTAACCACTAGACTACCCCACCTCCCTAATCAGCGGAACTGATAGTTGTAGGTAATGGTCATCATGGACATTGTTCAAAACATTTGAATCCATAAGGGAAAGATCAAAAGCAAAGTATGTTCTAGTGCAAGATTTGCTTGTTTGTTGTTTAACGTCACTTGCCAATATTCCAGCTATATGTCTGTAAATAATCGAGTCTGGACCAGACAATCGATAGATAACGTGATGAGCCTCGATCTACGCAATTGGGATACGGTGACATGTGTCAACCAAATCAGCGAGCCTGACCACCCGATTCCTTTAGTCGCCTCTTACGACAAGAATAGGTTGCTGAACACGGGTGTGCACGGGTCTCTAGTGTCAGGTGTTAACGGGTGCAGCCACATAGTGCACTAGTGGCAGTCCTGCCCTGCCCTGTTCATCTGAATCAACCAATGAGCAGTGCAAGGTCCCGCGTCAAAATACAATACTTGTTTAAACCTTCCCATTTATTTAACTGTTCGAAATAACCTTCAGGCATGTTTGGGAATGCTTTTCACTCATACATCAGTGTAGCGGATAGATGAACATGAACACTTTTTGTGTTCGGTTCCTCCATACGCATTACAGATGCACCAACCACATCAGTTTACCGTTATCCGTGCACCACGATAATTTACCCAAAGACACTCGATTGTCGATAATTATTGGTGTAATTTAGACGTTTTGTTATAAGTATGCTATATATGATTATACTGTCACTTACCTCAATGTCCAAGCCAAACTTTGAAAAGACAAAATATCCGAGCCATGGTCTTTCATGAGGGATTTCTCCTGTGCAGAAGTAATTTTGTAGGCTGGGTGCATCCATGAAATATGGTGTAGGAAGTGAGATGTACTCAGAGGGTGTACTGTTCATTGCATGACAGTACACCTTCACTCTAACCCCATCTAGTTGCCGTGGATACAGCCAATACTCTCCGTCAGTGTACGTGGAACTGAGTTGCCGAACCTCTGAACAGATGGACACAGCTGAAACGACAGATGAATTTCCCTGCAGGTGAGCTTAGGCAATCACTGAAAATCTACTGAGCAGTACAGGGCATTCGACGTCTATACATGTAGTATCATATCCCGTAGGAACCCTACCATTAAGACATAGTACTGACTGGGGCTGGAAAAATGGTTGGAGACTGAAGGCTTTTTGCAATGAGTGCTTCGAGACACTCACTCTTCTTGGAAATACATTGTACGTGTTTGCTCTCAACACACTCGCAAGACGAAACGACACCGGGTGTCATCACTGATGTTCAATGGTTCATTGATATTTTCCTGTAATCTCTTCTACCTGTTAAAATGACAACCTTGTAGAAACAGAATTATGATTGAAACATTTCAATTCTAAACATGACCTCACAGTTATACGTTTAACGAATAAATTCATCTTAGAAAGATATATAATATTAGAGCGTGTGTCGATGGATCACAATGATAGTCAAATCGACGTTGCCTTTTCATTAGAAATAATATATGTAGCCTATTCATATATATATATATATATATATATATATATATATATATATATATATATATATATATATCTTTGAATATATGTAGTGAAGATTTCCAGAAACTGAATTCATCAAATATGATCCTTTATTCACCACCATTTCTTTCATTTCGAAGTTCAGAGCGTGTGTCGATGAATCACAATGATAGTCAAATCGACGTTGCCTTCTCATTAGAAAGAATATATGTAGCCTATTTATATATATTTATATTTATATATATATCTTTGAATATATGTAGTGAAGATTTCCGCAAACTGAATTCATCAAATATGATCCTTCATTCACCACCATTTCTTTCATTTCGAAGTTCAGAGCGTGTGTCGATGAATCACAATGATAGTCAAATCGACGTTGCCTTCTCATTAGAAATAATATGTGTAGCCTATTTGTATATTTATATATATATTTATATTCATATATTTATATATATGTCTTTGAATATATATAGTGAAGATTTCCGCAAACTGAATTCATCAAATATGATCCTTTATTCACCACCATTTCTTTCATTTCGAAGTTCAGAGCGTGTGTCGATGAATCACAATGATAGTCAAATCGACGTTGCCTTCTCATTAGAAAGAATATATATAGCCTATTTATATATATTTATATTTATATATATATCTTTGAATATATGTAGTGAAGATTTCCGCAAACTGAATTCATCAAATATGATCCTTTATTCACCACCATTTCTTTCATTTCGAAGTTCAGAGCGTGTGTCGATGAATCACAATGATAGTCAAATCGACGTTGCCTTCTCATTAGAAATAATATATGTAGCCTTTTTATATATTTATATATATATATATTTATATTCATATATTTATATATATATCTTTGAATATATGTAGTGAAGATTTCCGCAAACTGAATTCATCAAATATGATCCTTTATTCACAACAATTTCTTTCATTTCGAAGTTCCTATGTTACCGTGTTATGTCAACTTACGCAAGCATTTCATCGTGGTCCACGTTCCATCCGGCTTACATGTCATGTTTCCACATGGCACAAATCCCATTTGGCACCTCAAAGAATGGTTTATCCGAGTGAACTGTCTGACGACTGAAGAATCGACGTATTCTACAGTCGGTGGGGCCCTGCAGTCTACAAAATATATAGTACAAGGTATTGTTGAGAAATCAGCTCCTGAATTAATTGTACTGAAACAATCTTTACATATCAACACTGTACAACAAGCATTCATTTTATAAACTTCAAAACTTGTTTGTTTTCAAATTTGGAAACTAAAGATACAATATTCCACTGACTTTCAATGTGCTTTAAGGTGAGTGAGAAAGTGAGTGAGTTGTGTTTTACGCCGCACTATATTCCAGCTATATGGCAGCGGTCTATAAATAATCGAGTCTGGACCAGACAATCCAGTGATCAACAGCAAAGGCATCGATCTGCGCAATTGGGAACCGATGACATGTGTCAACCAAATCAGCGAGCCTGACCACTCGATCCCGTTAGTCGCCTCTTACGACAAGCATAGTCGCCTTTTATGGCAAGCATGGGTTGCTGAAGACCTGTTCTACCCCGGATCTTCACGGGTAGCTTATTGATCAACAACAGAGCTTTAAGGTGAGGAGAATGAAGATAAATAACACTATCATAAATGTTCTACTGTTTATTAGAACCTTCTGTTTAGCTATTCGTGTTGGTACTTACATCTCCGCCAGTAGTGATTTGTCAGTTAGTTTGATGGTTGGGTTCCCTGAATTGATGCGATTGGTGCAATAGTTGGCTAAACATCAAAAGCATATTTCGAGAAAAATCAATATCCTGCGTTTGACTTTGATTCAAATCATATACAACTAATTTTTACATGTAATACGTTATCCTCCTGATCTTAGAAAACAGTTTTATCCCGTTCCAGACAAGACTGGTTCTGATTGTGTATAGCGCTAGCACTGGCGTCCCTATTGGATACTGAACTCTTGCAGGAGGAATTATCTACACTGGAAGAAATAAGCTTATGATAGATAGATTGGTTTTATTTCCTCCAGATATGAAGATTACAAGCACTTATACATCACATGATATTTACAGACAAGTGAATATATGAATGCATCAGAAAGTTAATGAAGCAGGAAATTGCATTTACTGACAAAATCAGCCACAATTAACATTATTTGGCACAGGTATCAAAGTGAATCTCTTCTGTACAGTCTGGGAATCCTCCAAGGAAGAATGAGATGATGGAGTCGTCATCTTTTGACCATAAGTCAGCAAAATATTTTACATCCATCAGGTCAAATACTTTTTCAAACAGTTCGTCTCTCTCTGACATGTTCTT